CCTGTTTCCGCCTGTCTCTCTGGTTCTGCTCCTAGTTCCTAGTGCTGATCCCGCTCAAAACATCGAGATGTAGACATCTCAAGCTTTCAGCCTTAGGTTCTTTTCTCACTCTATTTTCTCCTTTTATTTCCTGATGTCTCCTCAACCTCTACATTAAACCCATATTTCTCTTCTGAGAAATATCAGAATCAAAATGATGAGTTTATCCCTTTCCCACAGATATTTTCTCTTTCAGATTCTGTGTAAATAAATGGTACCACCCAATGGCTCAAAGCAGAAATAGAATGGACATCTTTGATAACTCATGCCTTTTTCAAATCTATTAAATTAGCAAATTTAACCCAATTAATTAATTCACTTACTATAGTTTAATATGCCCTTTATATTTCTACTTTGAAAATTTTATTCTAAAGCACTTTTGTTGTCACTAACTTTGACTACTGCCTAACCTTCTGACTTATTCTTGTCATTGCTTAACAAGTTTTTCATACAACAGCCAGAATAATTTTTTAAAAAGTGAAGTTTCATCATTTCTTTCCTTGTTGCTTTAAGTAAAACTTTAAAATGGCTTCCTTTTGCTCTAAGGATGAAAAATGATCTGCCCCCTGTCCATTTCTCTGCCTTTTCTCGTGCTGTTCTCCTTTCCGCATTCGTGCCTCGAGCTTGTCACTTTCTCAGGCATTCCAAGCTGCTTTCCAGGATCTTTGCCAGAAACGTTTCCCTCGTCATCACCGACTTCTCTTTTTATTCATCATCTCAGCTTAAATTACTTCCTCCGAGAAGCCATAGATTAGAGTTTCCCTATTAGCCACTTTACTAGTACTTTGTAATTTCCTTTTTAGCAGTTATTATAACTTTATTGAAATGTTATGAGAAATTATTTAACGTTTTTCTCTGTCACTAGCCTAATAGCTCCATGATGTGGGGCTTAATGTTTGTTTAGCGAATAAATGAAATGAAAGAATTTGCAGTTATGGGAAGTTAAAAATGGTAATGGGGTATTATGAATTTTAGCATTATTTATTAGCAGCATAATTATGTGTTGGTGTTGTATAGGGTTATCTCTAGTTTGTGTTTGTTTTAAGCAGGTTAATAAATATCTCAATATATGTCAGCCAAAAAACTGTTAAAATAGATGTGAAAATGACTGTTATTTTCTTTGCTTAGATCAATAATGACTGACATCAAGAAAGACAACAGAGTTACAACGTTAACTACTCATGCAGGAATCAGAAATTGTCTACTGAAAATACTTGATCAGCTACAAAGATGTCAGAAATCATTAAATGAATTTTTGGAGGCATGTTTTTTTTTAATATTTATGTAATAAATTGTAAACTACTTAACAGTAATTTTTTGAAAAGAAAAGGTTATTTTTTTTGTTTTATTTTTATTAGGAAAAACGCTCAGCATTTCCAAGATTTTATTTTATTGGTGATGATGACTTGTTAGAAATACTGGGCCAGTCTACCAATCCTTCAGTAATTCAGTCTCACCTTAAGAAGCTGTTTGCTGGTAAGATTCAACATTTATTCAACCGATATTTATTAAGTTTCAACTATCTGCCAGACATAATGTTAGACTCTTAGGTAGACTATTGAATAAAATACAGCTCATACACACAAAGAACTTATAGTTTAGTAGGGGAGCTAATTAGTAAGTTGACAAATATAGTATGACAGTTCCCATGGTCAATATAAGTAAATGGCATTATATCTGCATCTATGAAGGCATTTAGGTCAGTTTTGGGACATCATAAAGAAGGTGACTTCTAACATGAGACTGAAGAATGTATACTAGTAGGTGTTAGCTAGAAGAAAGATGGGGAGGCAGAGGGAATAGGTTCTGCAGAGGCTTGGAAGTGAAGGAGAACATGTCCCTTCATTACTGAGTTCAAGATCTCCTGAATGATATCCAAGTGGAGATATTCAATAGGCAATTATTGTCAGCAAAGATACCTGGGATGGAGATGTAAACTTAGGAGTTATTTGTATATAGATAATAACCACTCTATGGAAATAGGTAAGATTACTTGAAAAAAAGTGTGGAGTAATAGTGCCATATTCTTTGACATTGTTGAATCAGTTTTGCTGGGTAATTGCAAATGGAATTGCTTTGCTGCAAAAATAATGATGATTTTTTTTCTTAAAATATTTCATTTTTTTAGAAAAGAGTCATATTTTTCAAATTAACTTTAAGAAATAAAAATTTTTCTTCATCTTTACCTGTAATTAGGGATCAGCAAATTATAGACCCACAGGCCAAATCTGGCTCACTGCCAGTTTCTTTTTAAGTTATAACTTTTTTTTATTATTCTTTTTTTTAAAAAAATATATTTTATTGATTTTTTACAGAGAGGAAGGGAGAGGGATAGAGAGTTAGAAACATCGATGAGAGAGGAACATCGATCAGCTGCCTCCTGCATACTCCCCACTGGGGATGTGCCTGCAACCAAGGTACATGCCCTTGACCGGAATCAAACCCGGGACCCTTCAGTCCTCAGGCCGACGCTCTATCCACTGAGCCAAACTGGTCAGGGCTTTTTATTATTCTTTATTGTTGAAAGTATTACATAGGTTCCCTTTTTACCCCCATTGACCCCCTCCAGACCACCCCCACCCCTAGGCCCAAAAGCCTTCAGCACCCTATTGTCTGTGTCCATGGGTTATGCATATATGCATACAAGGTATTTGGTTGATTACCTCCCACCCATCCACCCTCCCCCACCTTCCCTCTGAGATTCTGCACTGTTCCATGCTTCCTTGTCTCTGAATCCACTTTGTTCATCAGCTTATTTTGTTATTTAGATTCCACATATGAGTGCTATCATGTGATACTTGTCTTTCTCTTATTAACTTATTTCATTTAGCATGATACTGTCCAGGTTCCTTATGCTGTCTCAAAGGTTAAGAGATTCTTCTTTTTTACAGCTGCATAGTATTCCATGGTATAAATGTACCACAACTCTTTTATCCACTCATTTACTGATGAGCACTTGGGCTGTTTCCAGATCTTAGCTATTGTCAATTGTGCTGCTATGAACATAGTGGTGCTTCGGGTTTCTTAGGCTATATTCCTATAAGAGTGATCACTGGGTCAAATGGCAGTTCCATATTTAATTATTTGAGGACGTTCCATAATGTTTTCCATAACGGTTGCACAGTCTGCATTCCCATCAGCAGTGTACTAGGGTTCCCTTTTCTCCACATCCTTGCCAGCACTTGTCATTTGTTAATTTGTTGATGGTAGCCATTCTGACAGGTGTGAAGTGATACCTCATTGTTGTTTTAATTTTCATCTCTCTGATGATCAATGACTTTGAACATTTTTTCATTTGCATTTTGACCATTTGTATGTCCTCTTTGGAGAGGTGTCTATTTAGGTCCTTTGCCCATTTTTTAATTGGATTGTTTGTTTTCCTTCTTTAAGTTGAATGAGTTCCTTATATATTTTGGGTATTAATCCTTCATCATATGTGTCATTGCTGAATATGTTCTCCCATACAGTGGGCTCTCTGGTTTTATGGATGGTATCTTTTGCTGTTGCAGAGCTTTTTATTTTGATGTAGTCCTATTTGTTTATTTTCTCCTTAGTTTCCGTTGCCCTAGGAGATGTATCTGTAAACATATTGCTATGAGAGATGTCTGAGATTTTTCTGTCTATGGTTTCTTCTAGGATTTTTATGGTTTCACAAGTTACATTTAAGTCCTTTATCCATTTTGAGTTTATTCTTGTGTATGGTTTAGGTTGGTGGTCTAGTTTCCATTTTTGCATGTATCTGTCCAATTTTCCCAACACCATTTATTGAAGAGACTGTCTTGACTCCATTGTATACTCTTGCCTCCTTTGTCAAATATTAATTGAGTGTAATGACTGGGGTTGATTTCTAGGTTCTCTGTTCTGTCCCATTGATCTACATGCCTGTTCTTATGCCAGTATCAGGCTGTTTTGATTACGGTGGCTTTGTAGTATAACTTGAAATCTGGTATTGTGATTCTTCCAACTTTGTTCTTCTTTCTCAGGATTGCTGCAGCTATTCGGGGTCTATTTGATTACATATAAATTTTTGGAGTATTTGTTCTAGGTCTGTGAAATATGCTGTTGGTATTTTAATAGGGATTGCATTGAATCTGTAGATTGCCTTGGGTAGTATGAACATTTTAATGATGTTGATTCTACCAATTCATGAGCACAGTATATTCTTGCAATTGTTTATATCTTCTATCTCTTTTTTCAACGTCCTGTAGTTTTCTGAGTATAGGTCTTTGGCCTCCTTGATTAAGTTTATTCCTAAGTACCATAAATTTTTTTTTTTTTGCAACGGTAAATAGGATTGTTTTTTTAGTTTCTCTTTCTGTGAGTTCATTATTACTGTATACAGAAGCCATCAATTTTTGGGTGTTGATTTTGTATACTGCTACATTCCCAGATTCATTTATTAAATCTAATAGTTTTTTTGGTGGATTCTTTAGGGTTTTCTATGTACAATATCATGTCATCTGCAAATAATGACAGTTTTATTTCTTCTTTTCCAATTTGGATACCTTTTATTTATTCTTCTTGTCTGATCGTTATGGCTAGCACTTCCAGTAATATCTATATATATAAGAGCTTAAGTGGCTGTAATGACCTGTTGACCGAATGACCAGTTGACCGGTTGCTATGATGCCCACTGACCACCAGAGGGCAGACGCTCAACGCAGGAGCTACCCCCTGGTGGTCAGTGCACTCACACAGCCAACCTCCGATGGCCGGCCAACCTCCCACAGTCCCTCCCCCCGGCTGGCCAGCATCAATTGGCCCTGATTGGGACTGGGCAAGATGGCCTCTATCAGCTATAATCGCTGGCCAGGCCGAGGGACCCCACCAATGCACGAATTTGTGCACTGGGCCTCTAGTGTTGAATAAGAATGGTGAAAGTGGGCATCCCTGTCTTATTCCTGTTCTTAGATGAAATGTTTTTAGTTTTTGCCCATTAAGTATGATATTGGCTTTAGGTTTGACATATATAAACTTCCCTCTCAGGACTGCTTTTGTTGTGTCTCAGAGATTCTACTTAGCCTCCATGTGTTTGAGTGTTTTGGGGTGTTTTTACTGTAGTTGCTTTCTAATTTCATTCCACTGTGATCTGAGAAGATGTTTGATGTGATTTTAGTCTTCTTAAACTTGTAAAGACTTGTGTCCTAACGTGGTCTATCTTTGTGAGTGATCCATGTGTAATTGAGAAGAATGTATATTCTGCTGCTTTGGGGTGAAATGTTCTATAAATGTCAATTAAATCCATCTGATCCAGTGTGTCCTTTAGAGTCATTGTTTTTTTGTTAAGTTTTTGTCTGGAAGATCTATCCAGTGAAGTCAGAAGGGTGTTAAAGTCCCCTACTATGACTGTATTGTTGATCTCTCCGTTAAAGTCGTCTAAAAGTTTTTTAAATATATTTAGTTGCTCCTATATTGTCTGTATAATGTTTACCAGTATTATATCCTATTGTTGGATTGATCCCTTTAGTATTACGTAGTGATCTTTTTTGTCTCTTGTGGTGGCCTTCATTCCAAAGTCTATTTTGTCGAACATGAGTATTGCTATTCCAGCTTATTTTTCTTTTCCATTTGTATGGACAATTTTTTTCCATCCCTTCACTCTTATCCTGTGAGTGTCTTTTGTTTTGATGTGGGTCTCTTGTAGACAGCATATAATTGGGTCATGTTTTTGTATCCATTTAGCTACCCAATGCTTTTTTATTGGAGCATTTAATCCATTTACATTTAGGGTTATTATTGATAGTTACTTATTTGCTTCCATTTTAAATATGTATATCTAGGTTTCTCTCTCTGTTTCTTCTCATTACAGCAGTCCCTTTTATCATTTCTTGTAATGCTGGCTTGGTGGCAATGTACTCCTTTAACTTTTTTTTGTCATTGAAGCTCTTTATTTGACCGTCTATTTTGAATGATGGCCTTGCTGGATATAGTAATCTTGGTTTTAGATCCTTGCTTTCTATTACCTTGAGTACTTCATGCCATTCCCTTCTGGTCTGTAGAATTTCTGATGAGAAATCAGGTGTCAGCCTTATCGGAGCGCCTTAGTAGGTAACAGTTTTCTTTTCTCTTGCTGTCTTTAAGATTCTCTCTTTGTCTTTAATTTTTGGCATTTTCATTATGATATATCTGGGCGTGGGCCTGTTTGGGTTCTTCTTGCTTGGGGTTCTCTGTGTCCCCGGAACCTGTGTGACCTTTTCCTTTACAAGGTTAGGGAAGTTTTCTGCCAATATTTCTTCAAACACATTCTCTATCCCTTTCTTCCTTTCTGCCTCTTCTGTTACACCTGTTATTCGAATATTGTTATGTTTCACATTGTCCCACAACTCCCTTAAGCTCTCCTCATGTATTTTAATTGTTTTTTTCTTTTTGGTTCTCTGATTGATTTTTTTCAACCCTGTCTTCTAATTTACTAATTTGATCCTGAGCTTCCCCTAATCTGCTGTGTATGCCTTCCAATGTGTTCTTTATTTGTGTTATGTCATTCTTTATTTCTGACTGTTCTTTTTTCATAGTTACTATATCTTTTTTCATGCTGTTGAGCATCTTTACCATCAGAGACATTTCTTATCTCTGTTTCAGATAAATTTCTTATCTCTGCTTCATTTATCTCTTCTTCTGGAGAATTCTCTTGTTCTTTCATTGGGGGGTTGTTTCTTTGTCCCTTCATTTTGGCTGTCTGTTTGGGTTTTAACTGTGTATTAGGTAGATCTTATATGCTTCTCAATCTCCATAGTGCAGGACAGTGTCAAATGCTATTTCTGACTAATCAGATCAGGCAAAGACTCAAAGCCTCTAGAGACCGCCTCTGCATATAGCCTGATAGGATTCTGATTTGGATTGCCCCTGGCAATTGTCCTCAGGTGTGGTGAGAGTTTTTTTTCAATAAAGTGGGCAGTTGCTTCTGCCTGGAGGCTAATTATTATTTTCAGTCTCTTCAGTGACCTCAGGGGAAGGTGTTTTCCAATAGGATGAGTCAACTGTCTTCCCCCCAGGCAGGGCAAATATCTGTCTGGGAAAGATGTCCTCTGCTGCATGAGGGAATGACTCAGCACAGGAAACTGGGGGTGTCTGCCTTCTGAGCTCTAACTTCTTAGTCCCCAATCCTGGCTTCTTCTTACTCAGCTACAGTCCACCCTGCTCTTCTTCTGCCTAAGCACTAGGTGGCTGGCTCCATATGGAATTTTGTATGTTGGCCCTTTAAGAGGCTCCCTGAATTTCTAGCTGTAGCTCCCTGGCAGACAGCAACCCTACTCCTTTTCATAGCCAGATGTTATATGGGTACCCTTCTTAGTTGTGGTGCTCTCTGCTTGGGGGCCCAGCTTGGGGATTAGATTCCAGAGTTCTCAGTGGCAACCCCCCACAGCTGGGATATCTGTCTGGAACTTTAGTTTCTGTCAGTGGGTGCCAAGCCAGCCCTTTCACGCCTCCATCCCTCCTACCAGTCTCTATGCAGTCTCCACTTTAGGTCCTCGCATATCAAGTTCTCTCTAGTGAGTCTTCTGTTGATTATTCAGGAAGTTTTTTTGTATTTTAGTTGTAATTCCAGTGTGTTCCTGGGAACGTGTTTGTGCAGCATCCACTTACTCTGCTGCCATTTTTAATTTCTCACTGCCAGTGTTTTTAGAAGAAAATTTTGTTGGAACACTGCCACACTCATAACACTGTCACACTATTGTCTATAGCTGCTTTTATGCTACTAGCACAGATTTGGTTAGTTGATACAGTGAATCACGGCTTGTAGAAACCAAAAATATTTACTCTGGTGCTTTGCAGAAGTATTTATTAACCACTGTCTATATGAAGTTTTAAGATGTTTATAACTGTGGGCTGTGGGCGGTAGTGGAAAGAGCTCTTGGAATCAGAAGGCTTGCAATCAAGCTCTACCTGTACTATTTATTAGTCAGTTTTAATTAATTGTTACCTCTCTGAAAATTTGAAAATAATAACTTATAGGGTTTTCTGAGGATCAAAATTAGTTAATGTATTTAGGCTTTTTGTTGTTGTTGTTAAATATTAAACAGTGTTCAAATTTTGGGGAAGGGCAGTCTTATTTGCCCTCTCCCTTTCTCTCATCTTTTTGCCTCAAATCAGTTGAATCATCAGTCTCTATTCCTACGCACTAATTTTGTCTGATTTTTTTTTCTCACAATGTTTTGAGATACCAACCTTATATTTTATTGTTTTAAATTACTGAATAACATTTCATTGTTTGAATATATCACAGTTTTTTCATTTACCTGTTAATGGGCTTGGGTTGTTTCTTCTTGTTGGTTATTAAAATCTATTGTATTACATTACATGCTAAAATTAACATAATTCTATTGCATTGTCATATTTATTATGAAGTATATATTATGTGATAACCATATATGATTTCTAATAATTATTTTAAATCATTTTTTATTTAAATTGTTGCTTTTATAATGTAGGTATTAATAGTGTATGTTTTGATAATGAGTCAAGACATATAATTGCAATGAAATCTTTGGAGGGCGAAGTTGTACCTTTAAAAAATAAAGTTCTTCTATCAAATAATGTAGAGGTAAGTAATTCTTTTTCATGTATGAAAATTAAAAGAATTAAGTGTATGAACTTTATATAGTAATTATTTAGTCAATTTGTAGGGTAAAGTTGGTTAATTTAGAAAGTAATTTGTTTTTTTGTTTTGTTCAGAATGATTTGATATTAAAGGGAATACGGATTTTTAATCTTTGGAAGACAGTATATAATTATGAAAAGAGCCTTTGCTTGGAGTAAAAAAGACTTGGATAATAATCTTAGCTACAAAACTTATTAGCTATGTGACTTAGAATCTGTTTCCTTATCTGTAAAATGGGAATCTCACTATTTGTTGCAAAGGCTTTCTTTTGAAAATTAAATGAGATAACTGGCTTTAAGCATATTATGTAGTGTTTGGAACGTAAGTACTCCATAGTCTTAGTTCTCTTTTCTTTTATAAATGAGTTGTATGGCCCTGGATGGCACCCTCAGTGGTTAGAGCATCAGCTCCTGCACTAAAGGCTTGGGTTTGATTCCTGGTCAAGAGCACATACCTGGGTTGCAGGTTCAATCCCCTGCCCCATTCGAGGTGTGTGTGTGAGGCAACCAATCGTTGAGTCTCTCTCACATTGATGTTTTTCTCTGTCTCTTTCCTCTCTCTGTTTCTCTTCCTCCTCCCCCTCCCATTCACTTACTCTGAAAATCAATGGAAAAAATATCCTTGGTGAGGATTAATAAAAATGAGTTGTATAAGATGATTAAGGTGAATTAGTAAGCTTGCAGCTAGTGCATTTGCAGAATAGCTATGATTAATTGGTTCTTTAGGACTGAAAGTGAATTCTCAAAGGCCTATTACAGGTATATAGCTAAAACTAAATAGCAGTAGGTTGCATCACATTGAATTATAATTTTTAGGTTCCAGAATTATTTTCCAACTGAAATCAAAGGCCATGTCTTATCATGCATGTATCTATACAGTTTAGCCAAAGGACTGTTCCTCATTGGGCCTCAACATTTTATCAGGTGATTGAAAGCACAGAAGTTTTTTAAAATAGCGCCCATGGTTGGTGAAGAGTTTTGTTGCTTTCTGCTGTTGTTTTCCTTCCTGTAGTTTTGTTGGGACTAGATGAACAGAGAGAGGAAGAGCTTAAGTTTTAGAGCTGGGCTAGAGCAAATTTTCCAGCAGAGGAAAACTGAAGTCTGGAAGTGTCTGTGATGATGAGCTTTGCATAGACAAAGCTTTTCACTCTTTTGCTTCAGTGGCTTTGGAGCTGAGTAAAGTATCATGCTGTTTTTAATATTGGAAAGAGCTCTAAAGATAAAAAGAAAAACTAGAACATAGAGTTAAAGTAAGTAATGAAAAGCTATTTAAGATTGCAGCTTTTACTCTTAGATTTTATTGCAAATGATAGTCTTTTAAAGCTAAGTAAGTAGTAATTCATAAATATTTATTAAACTTTTATTAATCATTATTTTAACTTTTATTTTATCCATAATCATGTGAGTGAAAACATATCTTTTTTGACCTTGAAACAAAATTAGTTTTATTTGAAGAGGCAGCTTAACCCCCCAAATAATATAGTTCCTCCTAACTAAGCAATCCCTTCCCAGAGTTGCAACTCTCTGAATGTGAGATCATTAGGATAGCAAGAGCCTGGGACTTAGCTGGTCACTTTGATTCTGATTTATTGGCCTAACTATCTAGTTTGGTTTGTCATAATGCCTAAAGGAATGAGTTACTTTTTAAATGTTCATATTATATTGGTTTGTATAGATAATGTAGTAGCTAACCACAACTTTTGAGTTTTTACACTTGAAATTATGCCAAGAGGTTGAAAAAAAAGGTTTTCTTCAAATTACTTAAATCATTTATTAATTATATGGCATATAACACATTGGGATGTAAGAGTCAATAAGAAATTATAATTCACCCTCCTGAAATAAAAGAATAGGGTCAGTCAATAGATTATGGAGCCTCTGTGGAAAACAATATGGAGTTTCCTCAAAACATTAAATATGGAACTGCCATTTGTCCCATTGATCCCACTTCTGGGAATATACACTAAAAAACCCCAAACATCAATTAGAAATAATATATGCACCCCTATGTTTATAGCAGTGTAATTTATAATAGGTAAGATTTAGAAGTAGCTCAGTGTCCATTAGCAGATGAGTGGATAAAAAAGCTGTGGTACATTTACACAATGGAATACTATGCAGCAGTAAAAAAGAAAGAACTCTTAACATTTGCAATAGCAAATAAAGCTAGTCAGAAAAATATAAGTATTACATGACACCTCACTCAGATGTAGAATCTAATGAACAAAATAAACTGACGAACAAAATAGATCCAGGGACATATAAGCATGGAACAGACTTTGGAACCTCAGAGGGAAGGCGGAGGAGGGTGGGTGGTGGGAAAAGATTAACTAAAGAACTTGTATGCATATACGCATTACCCATGGACACAGACAGTAGGGTGGTGAAGGCCTGGGTCGGGGGGATGGAGGAAGGCTAGAAGGGGTCAATGGGAGAAAAAAGGGGGCATATGTAATATTTTCAGCAATAAAGATTACAAAAAATAAAAAAAGATGAAATGTGAAAGTTAAAAAGATAGATTATATATCTGTTTTATGATATGCATATATTATTTTCTAACTTTATTTTTAGAATTGGTTAAATGCTTTGGCCTTGGAAATGAAGCAAACTTTGAAACAGTTGTTGACAGAATGTGTTACTGCTGGACGAAGTTCTCAAGGTGCAATTGACTCATCCTTGTTCCCATCACAGGTAAGGAGGCTTATGTCTGGAGAGAACATGGCATCCTGGGATGCTCCCTGACCTAGAGTCGAGTACCAGGGCTCAAACAACTGACATCTCTGTGCTCCTTTTATCTAACAGTTATCATTGACAAATTGCTTAATTTCTGCGTCTGAGTTCCCTCAACTGTAACATGTGAGAGAAGAACTGCATGATAGTGAAGTTCTCTTCTATCTCCATTAATTTGCTATAATTCGATTCTTTCAATCAGAAAGCATGCTGAGATATAAGCAGCCAGGCCGGTGGGGAATAGAATGTGGAGGGAGAATCAGTCATGTAGTAGCTTCCTCCTTCCTGATGTTAGTCCATCATTGATGGAAGGGCACAGGATAGATAACACTGTCCCCCACCCTCCCATGGAATCATCTAAGACAGCGGTTCTCAACCTGTGGGTCGCCACCCCTTTAAGGGTCAAATGACCCTTTCACAGGGGTCGCCTAAGACCATCGGAAAACACATATATAATTATATATTGCTTTTGTGATTAATCACTATGCTTTAATTATGTTCAGTTTGTAACAATGAAACTGGGGGTCACCACAACATGAGGAACTGTATTAAAGGGTCGCGGCATTAGGAAGGTTGAGAACCACTGATCTAAGAGGTTGACACAAACAGGAATTTAGCAGGGTATTCGTGTAGATGGGAAATATGGTTACACCACTGATCTAAAATGTTAGCAGGAGCCCTAACCGGTTTGGCTCAGTGGATAGAGAGTCGGCCTGTGGACTGAAGGGTCCCAGGTTCGATTCCGGTCGAGGGCATGTACCTTGGTTGTGGGCACATACCCAATAGGTAGTGTGCAGGAGGCAACTGATAGATGTTTCTAACTCTCTATCCCTCTCCTTTCCTCTCTGTAAAAAATCAATAAAATATATTAAAAAAATAAAAATAAAATGTTAGCAGGGAAGCTGAGAGCTCAATTACATGGTGGGCATTGCAGATTGTTGCAGCTCAGTATTAATAGGAGCTCATTCCTGAAACACTGGATCCTAGATACCAATCTTATAAAACTTGTTCCAGACCTTATCAAAGCATAGTACTAAGACTTGTGTTAAGTATTCTGCCTTGTTTAGGATTTGTTTTATTGCTGATTAGGACTAACACTATTGGTTTAGGACATCAGTAACTTTAGTTTTTAGGGACCCTGAAACGTAGGCATTGAGATATTCTATGATTTCTCATAAGAAAATCTACCCAACTACTCAAAGTTATTTGCTTTTCAGATTAAAACATTTAGTAGCTTGATTTATGAAATAGGAAGCTTGGAACGTTTTAGATTCCTATCCCTTTTATCATTGATGTCATTTGTATCCTTTAGCACTTTGAGTCAAACTAAAATATGTTTTAAAAAACCTTGTAGCCCTTGTAGTTCTATCAGTGGATAGAGCATTGGCTTGAGGACTGAAGGGTCCCGGATTTGATTCTGGTCAAGGGCACATGCCCGGGGTTGTGGGCTCGATCCCCAGTTGGGGGCATGCAGGAGGCAGCCAATCAATGACTTTCTCTCATCATTGATATTTCTTTCTCTCTCTCCCTCTCCCTTCCTCTCTGAAATCAATAAAAATATTAAAAAATAAAAATAAAAAACCTTGTAAAGTTCTTAGAGAAAAGTAAAAGCAATCATCAATGAATATTGCCAGTGCAAAGTCAGAATTAAGCTGCTTTATTACTCTGGAAATGTTTCCTAGTACTCTGTCAGCTTTCAGGTAGAATTTAAATTGATTTAGAGTAAAAGACACAACATTAAGAAATCTACAAAAGTAAGATTGCATAATAATTGGATTCGGGAAATGACAATTGTATCAGGAGATAAAGGCTAAAGAAAGTTGCTGGTTTGAACTGAAACTTATTACTGAGCTCTTGAGTATTCAAGTAAAATGAATGTAAATGTAAAAATGTAAATAGTTCATTATCTCTGTAAAAATGTGAACTATTAAACATATAAATAGTGTTGACCCTTGGACAATGTGGGGATTAGGGGTACTGATTTACCATGCAATTGAAATTTTGTTTTTAATCCTTACTGGAAGATATGTTTTTTATTGATTTTGAGAGAGAGAGAGAGAGAGAGAGAGAGAGAGAGAGAGAGAGAGAAACATAGATTAGTTGCCTCCCATACATCCCTCCCAGCCCCCCAGGATTGAATTTGTAACCGAACCTGCAACCTAAGTATGTGCCCTGACCAGAAATCAAACCTGCAACCTTTTGGTGTATGGATGACACCTGGCCAGAGCTGTGTGTAACTTTTGACTCCCCCCAAAATTATCTGACTCCCCCAAAACTTATCTGCAGTGGATTGGTTCCAGAACACCTCCCCATCCCACCCTCTCACCACCCCTCTGCCCCCGACTACAAATATCAAAATCTAAGGATGTTCAAGTCCTTTATATAAAATGGCACCAAACAGTATTTCGCTTCCAGCTGCCTGGCTGCCGGCCGCCATCTTGGCTGACAGTTAATTTGCATAAGGATATGCTGATTAGCCAATGGGAAGGGTAGCGGTCGTGTGCTAATTACCATGTTTCTCTTTTATTAGTGTAGATTGTATTATTTTCCATGTGAACAACTGTAAACCTACTTTTGCCCCACCCCATATTTTTTGAAAACGTGTATAAGTGAACTGATGTAGTTCAAACCCATCTTGTTCAAGGGTCCACTGTAGCTCATTAATCTATCAAAACAAAGAATTCTAGTTTATTAGTGGTATGCTAAGAAAAATTATGTCAAGAGCATTTCCATGAGGGGATAGAATGATGTAAGTCATCACATGAATGTCTGGTACAGGTTATTATATACTGTTAATTCAGTTCTTTAAAGGTATTTTTGTAAGGATCTGAGAATTCACTTACTGGTCTGGGAAGGAAGTAGCAGGGTAAGTGGAAAGAATCTGACAGCCTTGGGTTCAAATCCTGCTTTTTCCAGTTATTCTCTGAGTGATTCTTTTTCACATTTAGTTAAGAGAATGTAATAATACTGACATTGCCAACTCATTTTGATTAGATCATGTAATGTTTGCAGAGCACTGTTAGAGATCACTACATTCTAATGAATAATATTAGTGCCCATGCACATATGTTAATGGTAACGTGACTTTAGAAGTAGCCATAGTGTATCTTTTTTTTTTTAAGAGTGTATCTTGACTATCATTTCTGTTAGTCTCTCACAGACATTGTATGTCAGACTGTTAGTAATTGAGATGATTTATGTGTATTTATAGTACAGAAATTCAAGAGTATTGCCTGAAAAAAATTCACATGTATCAGTATTAGTGTGGAGGTGGTGAGTGAATATTTTAGTAAGAAAATTAAAGAGCAGAGTCTTTTCACAAAAAAGCAGATTTGGATCTGCTTAAATGCTTCACCATGTATCTGACTAAAGAAGCTGGTGAGTTTGGCAGATAACAAAGTATGGCAGGTAACTTTGCCCTGGAAAGAGTTACTAATCGGCTTTCTCTTCTATAAATGAATCTAATATGATATTTACACAATATTTTAAGTTAGAGCATGACAGTAGCTTAGCCTGCTATACTAAATTATAAAATGCATATGTAGATAACTGAAGGACTTAACCTGTTAATAGAAGCATTTGATGATATTCATCTGGATGCTGAAATTTATATAGCACAAAAAACAATCTGTTAAATAGTAATAGGTGAATAGGTTTGCTGTTTTAATATGATGGTGGATTATGCCTTTAATTTAAAGGAGGATATTGATTTACCTTGTTCGTGTAAGAACTGTATCAAACTATTTTAATATAAGTTTTCAAAGGCTGGTATTTAAATGTACAATTTGCTTTATTAGTAGTCTTGCTATGTTAAAGAAAGCCTCTGAAGCAGGGTGAGTGTCTCAATTTTTATATAAAGGTAAAGATATCTATATTGATTAGAGCTAGTTTCTGTTTTTTGCGTGTTAGACTGAAAGATAGGACAGATCTTAATTTAAGATAAAATTGGAATTTGAAATGGCAGACTTCAGTAATACAGTGAGTGATTATTTGGGACACTAGCAGATTACTTATTAAATAGAATGCGTCATACTCTGTTATCTTTGCATCTTACTGGTTGAAAAGAAGCCATTTATGAGATTCAGGGGAAGGAAGTATCAAGTCCCTTCTCTTACCATAAGCTTGGTGAGTTCTAGGACCCACCAAATAGGCCTATGGGAGATAGTATGAGTTCTGAGAAGTAAGCTTGGGCTGCATTCTCTGCTAATATTTGAGGTACCAAAAGGGCATTCAGGTACAGAGATTCAATGCAATAGAAATTTTGGGGAAAGGGTTTCTTTTCTTAAGTTGGTAAAATATTCCTAAGTAAAATCACCTCTTAAAAATATGTTTTCTCTTAATTTAATAGATATTATGCTTGGCGGAGCAGATTAAATTTACTGAAGATGTAGAAAATGCTATCCAAGATCACAGCCTTCATCAGATTGAAGCACAACTAGTAAATAAGTTAGAGCACTATACTGACATCGACACGAGTTCTGAGGATTCGGGCAATACTGGTATGGGAAAATGTTCCATCTTCTGCCTACTTTTCAGTTATTTGAACATTTTTTGGTATTCTATCTTAATTCATTTATTGTTTCTGGCTATCTAGTTTGGAGGTTACTTTAGAAGTTACAATATATATATACTTAACTTTTAAATTTTACTTAAACAAAATGCAGAAACCTTACTATCATATAGGTTTCTTAATATCCCACTTTTTATCTTGGTGTTGACTTAATGTTACATCTACATACATTGAAAACTCCATGAGATTATATTATATATTTTTGCCTTTAACCATCAAACATTTTTAAAGGACTCAAGAGAAAAATAGTCTATTATATTTACCTAGATGCTTACCATTTCCGTTGCCCTTCCTTCATCTTGATGCTCCAAGTTTCCTTCTTGTACCTTTTTCCTTCTGTTTGAAGAACTTCCTTTAGTGTTTCTTTTAGAGCAGGATTGTTTGTTGTCTATGAATTCTCATAGATTTCCTTCATCTGAGAATGTCTTTATTCCTTCCATCTTTCTTATGTGATATGATTTTTTTTGTTCTTTGCATGTTGAATGATTTTGGATTGTATCCTGGACATTTTGAAAATTGTGTTATAGAGTCTGGATTTTGTTTAAATCCCCTGGATGAATGTAATATTAAAATATCAATGTTGATATTTTTCATTTAGCAATTGATCATATTTGGTTCAGGCCACAAGGTCCAGCAAACCTTCTGTGGGTGTGGTTCCATTGTCAGTTCTGCTTTCCAAATCTACTGTGCTATTACAGATCTGCACGTGTGAACCACCTAGTGGCCAGTTCTCAAAGTCTTTGGTTTGATGTTGAGGATGAGACCTGCACAGTTTGGAGATGAGCCTGAATTCATAAGCAAGCTTATAGGGTCGTTTTTCTAATCTCTTTTCTCTCCATGGTCTTCCCAGTAGTTTCTGGTTCCCTTGGGCCCCCCTTTTGGTCCTCTGGCCAGAAAGCTGAGGTTTCATGTACTTTATACTTTCCTGCACACTATCAGTGACCACACCCATCATGGGGGCCAATAGAGGGAGAACACAGAGAGAAAAAGAGCAGCCGCGGTTTGTCCTACTCTTTCAGGATCACAGCTTCTCTGATTTCAGAGGAGTGCTCCCTTCCCTGAGAGTTTTAGGCACTTCTGGGTCTTAACTGCCAGCACTGTAGCTACCTGCTGGAGACTCCTGCTCCTGGAGACTCCCTGTCTACAGCAATCTGGGTTTCAGGCTGCACTGTGTCAGGCCTAGTGATACAGAGAGGAAAAAAGAAAAAGAAAAAGGTAAATTCTCTATGTGTTTGATAGCACTTCTCATTCTGACCTTCCTCAATTGCCTAATCCTTTTGACTTTTCAGAGTTCTAAGTAGCAGTTCAGTGCGTGTTGTCCATGTTTTCTACACCTGCATTCAGAGGGGAGGAATTCAGGGTGTGCTTACTCCTTCATAAGGAACCAGAACTCATTTTTTACTGAATGTCGATGCGTTAGTTTTCACATGCAAAATTATTATTTCTTACAGATGGTGGATTTGATATATATATATTACTATGCTCTATATTACTATGCCACTCAAATATATCATGAATTTACCATTTACATTAATTAAGAAATCCCCTGTATAAAGATATCATAAAGTATGTAAGTCACAGGCTAACATTTTCTCTAATTATGTTTATTTGTATATAGAATCTGGCATTATGGAGCTTAAACTTAAAGCATTAATCCTTGACATTATTCATAATATTGATGTGGTGAAACAGTTGAACCAAGTTCAAGTTCATACAATTGAAGACTGGGCTTGGAAAAAACAAGTTAGATTCTATATGAAAAGTGATGATATATGTTATGTTCAAATGGTGGATACTGAACTTCAGTATACTTATGAGTATCAGGTATGACTTGTGGCAGAAATGTTTTATTTTTCTGTTAGATATTACTTACTTTAAAGGAAATTTTCTTTTGGATGAAAGATTTATTTTTATTTTAGTTATAACTTTCAAGAATGTTTTCTTTCTGTTTCATCATAATTAAAAAATGTTATATTGGAAAAATCATTCTCTTTATTAAAAAGTTAAAATAATGGCAGTATTGTACTGAATTCTCTAAATGTATCTTTTCTTAGAGTAGCATTTATATAGAATTTGAGATATATCTTCAATTGAAGAAGAATTGAATATAGGCAACCCCAATGGAAGTGATTTGGTTTGTGCCTCCTTATACAAGGACAATGTTGTGCAATTTTAAATAAGCTAAAATAGGTTTACTAAATGTTTTTATGGTTTTCAAGGTAAAACAACTTCTGAAAAAATAACCTAACTCATATAGGCTTTTCTAAAAATAAATGCATCTGAATCCTTTCTGCTTTATTTTTATTATAATCAATCATCAGAAAATGTTGGCAATTATGTAAGTAAGCATATGTCAGAGAGTTGCCAGTTGGCTCTTTCAAAAGGAAATGCATTTTGAGACCCAATCTGTCTACCTAAACTAAGGAAAAGCATTAACTGCAGCTGGAATTGGAATCTGTTTTCCCTAAAATTTAGTAGAGAATTTGAAAATTATATGATCAGTTAAAATTGTTTCATAAGAAACTGTTCAAATTAATTGAACTTTTAGGTTTCCAAATAATTCTGATATGTGAAGGTTATAAAATTTAAGGAAATAATTTACATGAATTTAAAATACAAAACAAAATCCTTTTTTATACTTGATTATTATATATTTTTGGATTTGTTTGCCTTAGAAGTATGTTTTTGTACTATTATAAAAAACTCAAGAGACTGTTTGGAATACCTAACAATATATTAATTGAGGAAAGAATAAAAATACATGCTTGAAAATAATTAAGTTTAATTCCAGTTTGCACTTTCGAAAGCTTCTTTTATTAAAAATATTTTGGATACTGTTCTATGTTAAAAACTTTAATCTTTTTGTTGCTTCTTTATCTTTTTAAGTAGAATTTCACACTGTGTAAATATTTGTAAATGGTAATTAGAACATGCATATAAAAACCTTATATTTCCCTTGTGTAGGGTAATGCTCCCAAGCTGGTGTATACTCCACTGACTGACAAGTGCTACCTAACTCTCACTCAAGCCATGAAGATGGGACTTGGAGGAAATCCTTACGGACCAGCTGGAACTGGAAAAACTGAATCGGTCAAAGCTTTGGGTGGACTTCTTGGAAGACAAGTTTTAGTTTTTAATTGTGATGAGGTAGAATCAATAAATATCCAGCTAAGTAATAGTGTACTAGTTAGATGGTTGGATTAGTTTTCATGTACTTATATATCAAAGTTGTATTTAAAATCACTCTACTTTTAAATCGCTTGAAAATGGAATTTGTTTTATTTGAAAAGTAAAATGGAGAAAGGTTGCATGTAGTATAGTCCCAAAACTTTTCTAAAGAGAATTATTATAAAGAAACAGTTTTATGTTAGAGTTTAGAAAAAGATTTTAGTAAGGAGAATAGTAAATAGAAAAGGAAAAATTTAAATTCATTTAAAAATTATTTTGTGTAGGATTTGTATTTTGACTTAAAGAATAACCAAAGCAAAAGTAGTATTTGTTTAGTTTTGTGTACTTTTCAGAATACTTTCACCTGAATTATTTTGTTTACTCCTTGAAACCACTCTGAGTTTGAAAGAGTAGCTATTTAATCTCTATTTTTTAGAGCAAAAGAGGCAGAGATGTGTGAAATGATTACCTTATGAGTAAATGACATAAACTATTAAATTATTATTAGCGATTTAAGTTGCTTTTTAGTGAATATAATTTTTATTGTTATTTTTAAGGGCATCGATGTGAAGTCAATGGGACGAATATTTGTTGGTTTGGTCAAGTGTGGGGCCTGGGGTTGTTTTGATGAATTCAACAGACTGGAAGAAGCTGTACTATCAGCAGTTTCTATGCAGATCCAGACAATTCAAGATGCTTTGAAGAATCATAGAAGTGTATGTGAACTGCTTGGCAAGGAGGTATAAAAATATGTTTGTAATTTAAAGAATCAAAACATTTTATAAGACTTTGCCATCACTCGTATTCAGGCAGTATTCTATCTTTATTTCTCCTGGCACCCCTGTTTCTAATCTGTGACCGATGTGTTAAACATTTTTGCCTGTGAGTTGTCTCTGAGGTTTCTCCCCCTTTTTTGGGTCTCATTCTATCATTAATTAATCTTCAAACTATTTAGAATAATTGAGTTATAATATTTGCTAACATTTATTGAGCATCAGTCTGTGCTAGTACTGTGCTTAGTGTTTTAATGCAATGTTTCATTTCATACCCATCACATCCTGTGAAGTAGGTTCTATTACAATAATGTTGAACACACTGAAAGTTAAAAGAACTGTACATTTATCCTCTTATCTATAATAATATATTCACAATACAAGTTTTTCTGGGTAGGGCACAAAAGTAAGACCAGTTGTAAATTATTAACATGTTATTTACATGTTACTTGAGAAAGTATTAAGTTTTTAGCTCTTTATCATCAAAATTTATTTTCTTCCATATTTCTTTTTCCTTTCTTCTTCTTACTGAGAAAGAGGGGTCCTTTCTCTCACCAGTGCTTATCTTTCCACCTGTGCTTTGGAATCGGCTTCCCAGGGATCCGCTTGGAGTTATCCCCTCTGCCTTCCTTCCTGGACCCATTCCTCATTGGCTTTTAAACATAATCAAATCTTTTCCTTCTTAATATATTATACATAATAATATTATATAACTAAAACATAAGCAAATGTAATTCATCTTTTGTTACAATCACTGCTCTTTCTCTTTTCTTTCCTTTATAGCCAGGTTTTTCTACTCTAGATATTTCTACTTCCTAATTGCCCATTCATAGTTTACACATTCTAATTTAGCTTCTATTCTTTGAGCTGTGTTGAAATGCCCCTACTAGGTACTCTTCTGATATTCTGCTCTTCCCTGTCAAAGCATTTATTACACTATGATTGCTTCTTTGTTAGAAGGGAATAAACTATTATTGACTTTAGTTCAGAGTTGTGTGGTCTCTGTGTACTTAGCAAATTATTATAACACAAGGAAAGCTTTCAGTAAACATGTGTTGCATGAATGAATAGGCATGCAAACTAGTTATCATCTAAACTTTTAGCCTCAAAAAACTGATTATAAAGAAGCTCTATAAAGCAGTATGATTCCTAAAGGAGTTTATTATATGTCAAATAAGGAGACGGTTAGCACATTAGTTGTTAGTTTTTTGCTAAGGTATTTATGTGTAGAAATATGTCACAAATCTCTGCTGGTAATGTTTTATATGTATAGTTTCAGATATTTGATCCCTGTATTTTAAATTAATTTTTCAGGTAGAAATAAATTCAAATTCTGGCATTTTTATCACTATGAATCCTGCTGGAAAAGGATATGGAGGAAGACAAAAACTGCCTGATAATCTTAAACAGCTTTTCCGGCCAGTAGCCATGTCTCGTCCAGACAATGAGCTCATTGCAGAAGTTATTCTCTATTCAGAAGGCTTTAAAGATGCTCAAGTATTGGGCAGGAAATTGGTAGCTATTTTCAATCTATCTAGGTGAGTTTTTCTGTTTTATTTTTATATTTGTGGTTCCAATGATTGATTATGTTTTTTAGTGACTGTTTTTCTCATTTGTCCAATTTATTAAATGATTTTCATATTGGTGATTGTACTTAAGGTGAGACAGGAAAGATTTTACTTTAAATAATTAAAACATCTGGGCCTAAACTACTTGTTTTTTGTAAATACTAGAGATCTAATCTCACTTTTTTAGGAAAAAAAATTTTTGGAGTGTTCCAGCTAAATGACACTTATTGGTTTTATTTACCATTTGACCACTGAAAACTTATTCTTTTGAGGGAGTCTTTCTTATGTCTTATTTTTGGTAATAGAGACTGGCTTTTAGCTTCTTTGGGTAATTGAGAATTCTAGTCCATATCATTTAAAAGGTAGTGACAACTAGAATTTCAGAGATTGAGAGCTAGATAGATTGATTAAAAACTTTAGGAATAAAGGAAATAGGTAATTGTATAATCATTAAGATTCTAGCCAGTTTATAGTATAAATTGGTAATTACAAAATAGTCATTGGGATATAAAGTACAGTATAGGGAAAACAGTCAATATTATTGTCTTAACTATGTATGGTACCAGGTTGGTACTAAAAATGTTGGGAGGAGGGGACATTGTAAAGTATGTGATTATCTAACCACTATGCTTTACACCTAATACAACTAATACAAAATAATATTGAATGTAATCTTTAATTGAAAAATAAAATTTAAATTAAAAAAAAGTGTGTGTGTGTAGGGGGGAGATAGCCAGTTTATGAACCATTCATCTTCAACATTTTACTTGAGTGATAATTTTGTGATTGGGTCTTTTATATAAATGTATGAGATATCAGTACTCATTTTTATTTGTCATTAGTTACATTTTGTATTTCTTTGGATATGAATTCCTGATAGCTGTTTGATGCTTTATGGTTTTCATGTTTTTACTTAAGGGAACTTTTGACACCTCAACAACATTATGACTGGGGATTGAGAGCTTTGAAGACAGTTCTGAGAGGTAGTGGAAATCTTCTTAGACAACTGAAGAAAACTGGCATTAAACAAGAAGGTCTGATTCATTATTCCAAATATAATCTTATTTTTTAAAATAAGCTTTAGTTTAGAATAGTTTTAGATTTATAGAAAAGTTATAAATACTTTAGTTCAGAGTATATAGGATTTTTGAATAAGCTATTCCTAGTTTCTTCTGTTGTTAACATTGTACATTTATCAAAACTAATAAGGAAATATTGATATATTATTTTTCAATTGAACTACTTACTTTATTAGGATTTTCCCTAGTTTTTTCCCTAAAGTTTTAAAATGTGCATTAAATATTAAATAGTTGTGATATATAGAGGAATAGTCTAGGCCACTTGTTCTCAATCTTTAATGTTCATTAGAATCCCCTAGAGCAGTGGTTCTCAACCTTCTGGCCCTTTAAATACAGTTCCTCATGTTGTGACCCAACCATAAAATTATTTTCATTGCTACTTCATAACTGTAATGTTGCTACTGTTATGAATCGTAATGTAAATATCTGATATGCAGGATGGTCTTAGGCGACCCCTGTGAAAGGGTCGTTCGACAGCCAAAGGGGTCGCGACCCATAGGTTGAGAACCGCTGTTCTAGGGGCTTCATATACAGTATATAAATATATATTGTGACATGTGCATTTCAGTTCTGCATTATATATGTTGAGACTTGATTTGCTATTTTTCCATATCACAGTATATTATTATTTCTTTTAACAATTTTTTTAGTTATTTCTTCCTCAGTACTTCAACTATCCTTTTATTTTATTTTTCTCTTCCATGGATGCCATGTTCATTGGAAGGTTGTTTAGACCAAGTTTATGGCCTCTTATTCTTCCTCCACGTGAATAGGAGTTCACTTTTTGAATAATAAAAATTATATATCACAGGGGGGATTTTAGAGATGTTTAAGTGGGGCATGGTCAGAAAGGGTTGGGAACCACTGGTCTAGGTTGTCTAGTTGTTGTAGTAGAGTTATAGTCCTTTTTTACAATCCTTTGTATTTCTGTGTGGTCAGTTGTTACTTCACCTCTTTCATTTCTGATTTTGTTTGAGTCCTCTCTCTTTGTTTCTTGATGAGCCTGGCTAGAGGTTCATCAATCATGTTTATCCTTTCAATGAATGAGCTCTTGGTTCTATTGATCTTTTGTATTGTTGTGTTTTTTGTTTTTTTTTTTTTTGGTGTCTATGTCATTTACTAGTATTTCTGCTCTGATTTTTTATTATTTTCTTCCTTCTACTTACTCTGGGCTTTTCTTGTTGCTCTCTTTATAGTTCTTTAAGTTGTAGGGTTAGAAAACTTATTACTATTTTTTCTTGTTTTTTTGAGGTAGGCTTGTAGTGCTATGAACTTCCCTCTCAGGACTGCTTTCATTGTGTCCCATAGATTTTGGATTGTTGTGTTTTCATTGTCATTTGTTTCCAGAATGTTTTTTATTTCTTTTTTTCTTTTTTTTTTTTAAATATATTTTATTGATTTTTTACAGAGAAGAAGGGAGAGGGATAGAGAGTTAGAAACATTGATGAGAGAGATCGATCAGCTGCCTCCTGCACGCCCCCCTGTAGGGATGTGCCCACAACCAAGGTACATGCCCTTGACCGGAATCGAACCTGGGACCCTTCAGTCCGCAGGCCGATGCTCTATCCACTGAGCCAAACCGGTTCGGCTGTTTTTTATTTCTTATTTGATCTCTTTGGTAACCCATTCATTGTTTAAAGCGCCCAGCCTGTTTTGTCTTCCGGACGGAAAGTATAGTGTCAGTCACCAGTGACTGACTGGGTGCTTAACGTGTTAATAGCATGCTATTTAGCCTCCATGTGTTTGATTGTTTTTTATTGTACTTGATTTTTAATTTTATGCCATTGTGATCTGAGGAGATGCTTAATATGATTTCAGTCGTCTTGAATTTGTAGAGATTTAACCTGTGCCCTAATATGTGCTGTATCTTTGAAAATGGCCCAGGTGCATTCCAGAAGAATGTTTATTCCGTAGCTCTGGGGTGAAATATCTGAAGATGTCAATTAATTCCATCAGATCTAGTGAGTTGTTTAGGATTGCTGTTTCTTTGTTGATTTTTTTGTCTAGCATCTTTATCCAGTGGTGTCAATGGGGTATTAAAGTCCCCTACTATGATAGTATTGTTGATCTTTCCCTTGATTTCTTCCAGAAGTTTTTTTTAATGTATTTGTGTGCTCCTATATTGGGTGCATATCTGTTTACCAGAGTTATATCCTCTTGTTGAATTGATCCTTTTACTGTTATGATGTGGCCTTCCTTATCTGTTATTATGGCCTTCACTTTGAGGTCAATTTTGTCAGATATAACTATTGCTACCACAGCTTTTTTTCATTTCCATTTGCCTGAAAATTTTTTCCCATCCCTCCACTTTAATTTCTGTGTGAGTCTTTAATTCTGAGGTGGGTCTCTTATAGACAGTATATATATGGGTCATGTTTTCTTACCCATTCAGCTACCCTATGCTTTTGATTGGAGCACTTAATCCATTTACATTTAAGGTTATTATTGATAGGCACTTGTTTGTTGCCATTTTTATTCCTTATGCCTATGTTGCTTGTTCCCTTTCTATTTCTTCTTTTTACAACAGTCCCTTTAGCATTTCATGTATTGCTTGCTGGATGGTAATATATTCCCTTAGTTTTTTTTTGTCTGCGAATCTCCTGATTTCACCTTCAATTTTGAATGATAGCCTTGCTGGATAGAGTGTTCTTGGTTTTATTCTGTTGCTTTGCATCACTTGGTATACTTCATTCCATTCCCTTCTGGCCTAATGTGTTTCTGTTGAGAAATCAGCTGATAGTCTAATGGGAGATCCTTGTAGATAACTTACTTTCTCTCTCTGGCAGCCTTTAAGATTCTTACTTTGTCATTGATGTTTGCCAATTTAATTATGATGTGTCTTGGTGTTGGTCTTTTTGGGTTCATCTCGTTTGGGACTCTGTGTGCTTCTTGGACTTGTGTGACTTTTTTCTTCCCAAAGTCAGGGAAGTTTTCTGTCATTAGTTCTTCAAATGGTTTTCTATTTCTTTTTCAGTTTCCTCTCCTGGAACCCCTATTATGCGGATGTTGTTTTGTTTCACGTGGTCCCAAAGCTCCCCTAGACTTCTGCTTTTTAAGTTTTTTTTTCTTTCCATTCTCTGCTCTGTTTGGGTGTGTTTTCTACCTTGTCTTCTATCTCACTGATTCAGTTCTCAGGTTCTTCTAGTGTACTGGTTGAAACCTTCCATTGTATTCTCTATTGCAGCTCTGTCATTCTTCATTTCCTCTTGATTCTTATACATGTTGATGAATTTCTCATCCAGCCTTTTGAGCATTCTTATTCTCATTACTCTGATTTTTTTTCTCTGACAAATTGCTTGCCTCCATTTCATTTATTTTCTTTTCTTGTAATCCCTCTTTTTCTTTCACATGGGGTTGGTTCTTTGTCTTCCCATTTTTGCTGTTTCTTTGTGTTTGTTTCTATGTATTAGATCAAACTGCTATGCCACCCAGATTTTTTGAGTTTATCATATGTAGTAGATGCTGCACCTAGTGGTGTAGTCCCTCAGGTCTTATGGGCTGGGTATTCTCAGGATGCCGCCTACTTGACATATTTGGGTTTTGTTGA